CTAAACCAGAACTCTCTCCGATCTCCTAGGAACTTCGAAGATTCGAGCTGGGATTTGCTCGCTATTGGCCTGCAAGTTGTTGTTACTGTACTTTCGGGTTTAGGGTCGAGCTGGTTTCGGGTTTAGGGTTTAGGGGTTTAGGGTTTAGGGTTTGAAGGGGGTTGATTAGTCACGGGCCTGCATTGGTAGGGAATCGACAAGGGTATGTGGAGGGAATGGGAGGGTGAAGGCTACTAAAGGGTTCAGGGTTTCAGGCGGATTAAGATTTGGGATTTAGGGTTTAGGGTGCTGGCAGAGAAATGGAGGACCAGATCGAAATTGACATGCTAACTGGGGCTTATAGGGATACATAGGCTTTGGGGTGAACCTGCTAATTGATCTTACGGAATGCACTGCAAAAGAACATGGAAACTACAGTTTAAGGTGTAAGGTATAAAGTTTAGGTTGTAGAAAAAGAAATTGAAACCATTGTGTCATTTGAGGTTTCCCTTTTGACGACCGGTAAGGCCACGGCGCTGGAGGGCTGTGCAGATCGGGAACCAAACCCTAAACCCTTAACCCAAAGCCCTAAACCCTGAACCCTAATTTTCTAAAGCCTCAGCCCCAAACCCTAAAGCCTACTCCCCAAACCCTGAATCCTAAACCAAAACCCGAAACCCTAGACCCTACATCCTGAACTCTATGGTAACCATGGTATACCAGGTAAGGCTTAAGTTCGGGGATTCAAAGCCGGGCTTCAGGCAGTTTGGGGGGTTTAGGGTTTAGGGTCCGGGGAAGCTGACAATTAACTTGGGGTCCAATCCTATTTCGCCTGGAATTTGAGGACGCTGGTCATACTAAATCCTGAACCCTAAACCCTATTCCTTGTCATCCTAGGAAGAGTCAATCGTGGACCCTCTCAACAACCAATGAGTCAAAATCCTTGGGTCTTCAGACCGGGCTCCCTGTTCTTCAGAAATGTGCCGGGATCATTCTAAAGAACTTCTCCTTTTGGGCACTTACCCATGCCAATCTACTCCTTGCATGATAAGAGGTCCTACCAAAATCTTTTTCTGTCTGGGTTTTGACCTAGCGTTTTCCAGCCTGGGGTGTGAAGAGAAGTCCTTCTGTATGCGGCTGCATCATGACATCTTCCAGTCGGGCATAATGTCGGTGCTCATCAATTCTGGTGAGCATCTTGCGCACCAAATCCTGAGAGACAGGGAGTTCTGAAAATGGGGATGGAGATGTGCAGAAAGCACAATGACTATGGGCGGTTGCTGTATTTTTTCAGACTATGTGGTTTTAGACACACCTGATATTTAGAACTCCCATTTCTCTTCGTCCGATGAATTTCTAGGCTTCAAACTGGACTGGCTAGAATGTCAGGTGCGAGGTGCAACTCGATCATCAATTTGGCACCCACAAACCACATAGCATCATTGAGGGTTTCGGGTTTAGGCTTTGGGGCTTAGGGTTGAGGGTTTAGGCTTACCGAAGTGAGAGAATAGCTGCAAAATGAGCGCAATGAGAAGACCAAGGTGCAAACTGCTGCAGCATCAGCGCATATGTCAGTGGTGTCTCATCCTTCCCAAAACAGAAACTGAAAGCGCACCCTAGCCCCACATGAACATCGTAGCAAATACACTCCAACGAATACCGGCGGTGACCTTAACCCTTAACCCCAAACTATAATGCCTAACCCCGACACTTTTCACGTCCTAATGAAGCTATTTGTGTATTGAGAAAAGGGCTTTTGGGTGTTCTGCTATAGATACATATAGAATGGCGTTAGATAGAATTGGTGACCACACAGGTTTTTGCAGCACACCCGTAAATCCCCAAACCCCAGACCTAAATCCCCTAACCCTAAACCCAAAATCTCTAAACCCTTAGACCCTCAAACCCCTAGAGCCCTAAACCCTTGTTATCCTCAGGACCCTCCAATGGGTCGTCGTGCTGCAGGCGGACAGCGGCCTGCTGCACAAAAAGCTTAGCCACTGAAGATTCCCTTTGCTAGGGGGGACGCTTCAAAAGAAAGAGGGTTTAGGATTGAGGGTTTGGGGTTCCTAGGGCACCCTTTGAAAGGGTTCTAGGGAAAAGTATGGGAGGATAAGGACATTTAGGCTACCAAGGGCTTTGGTTTAAAGTTTAGGGCTCGGGAGTTAGAAAGGGATTCACGTTCCCGCGGGGGGGGGAGGAGTTCTGCATCACGTGGTGGCAATAAACGCCTATAAGTCCCAGGGATTGCGGTACCAAGGGGTTCTTGCGGGATTTCTCTATCGAACCCTAAACCCAAACAAAGACACTTTGTTGAACGTCTAGCTAGCTTAGGAGGCTCCCGGCCTAGGACTCGCGCTAATTGTTTAGGGTTTATGTGAGGTTTAGGGGTTTAGGGTTTAGGGGTTTCGGGCTTATAGAGGCCTCAAGAAGTACCAAAATGACCAAGTCTGGTGCCAAATTCCTTTCCCCAATGAATCTCAACATTGTACTGGTGATTACCTAGGCCTCTGCCGTACATGGGGGAGGGTTCTTCGAGTCATGTGCGATTCTTGTGCGGACTATCTTGTTTTGTGATCGCATGGGTGGACACTGGTTCTGCAACAGTCTCGCATTCAGGCAGAACGATTCTGCCTCAGCAACAATGGCGCCACCCAGAACAGTGTCTACCAATCTTGTATGCATCGTAGTTTTAGCTATCCTGAATCATAATTTGTAGCCATAGTCATCAAGCCAGTGCTTGCTGCCCGCTAAAAAATCAAGCACCCACCACGAATCGATCCTTCCGACATGTGGTGGATACTAGCAATCCTGCAGGGCCCTAAGAACCCTAAACCTATATATATATATACCTGGTACTTAGCATATCAAGGCCATGCAGGATTTGATATCAAAGCCAACGCCCTCTGCATGCCTCATTGGCGCGCAGGAGCACCGCCAAACCAAGAAGCGACAACTTCCGTGTGCCAGGCAACGAGATGGCTTCTGATGCGAGTGGCTGAAGGAGGCTTTTCTACTTTCGTGTCGTTACAGATGAGCAGGGAATGAGCAAAAGGAATATGGGGACTAATGGGGAGTATAAAGGGAGGATTGTATCAGAGTAAACTTCTGGTGGGTAGTTCCCAAACGGCTACTCCTCTGTCAAGCTCACATATAGTGCACATATTGGGCACCGGTGGATGGAGCCTACATAGGCCACCTACAAGGGTACCCACATGATCCCTGAACCGTAGGAATCCGGACGTTTGTTCCCTACTGACCACCCAGAAGTTTGAGGTTTCGGTTTTCGGAGGAGGCCTTGGGTTCAGGTAGGTTTAGGGTTTAGACACTTTACTGTGGGTAGATTGTTGCCTGGTTTGAACTGGGACTCTTGCTCACCTAGCTCCTACTCATAGACAGGGATTTCTGCTTTGACATGCTTTGACGCCTCTTCGTAGTCCTACTCCTCCCTCGCTGGTGCTTGAAAGGAAGTGGGGGGAGTGAATATAAGAAATATGATAAGGGTACATCTGGGGATCCTATAGGGATCGCTATAAGGATCCACTCCTTCACTCTCCTTAAGCACCAGTAAGCCCTAAACCCTGAACGGCTTAGAGTTTTGGGCGATTAGCGTCAGAACCCTCGAAGCTACGGATCGCCAACCGACCGTTCATGATCCAACCCAATCCTGGTTCGTTTTTTGGGTAACTTAGAATCATAGGGTTTAGGGATTGAGGTTTAGGATTAGGGTTTAGGGATGAGAGGGTGTAGGGTTTAGTTTGGAATGACAAACCCACCGTGAAAGATGAAAGCTGAGAAAAATGACCCAGGATACAGGATAGACTGATAGACGCAATGTAAACTCTATGTTCTGGGGTGAGTGACTCTTATAACGCTGTATACTCCCGACAGAACCCCTCTTAAAGACTTAATGCGACTGGATGATTGCTGCATAAGCCTCACCGAGGAGAATAAAGTTTAATGCACAACCCCACAGAGATATCTGAACCTCAATGCAAGCGGAAACCCCCGAGCAATTGGCACCCCAAAATTTGCGTGCCAATATCCAAACTTGTCCAAGGTCCAAACCAAGTCCGAAATCCATCAACCCTGGCCCTAAACCCTACATCCCAAACCCTGATCCCTAGCCCCAGCCTGCTAAAGGGAGCAAGGGTTTCAGCCATGCTTGCTTCAAGTACTTCCGTAGAGGATGGTCAGGGAGAAAAGCTGCTGCATCCAAACAGCTTGACACCAGGTCGAAAGGCCTAAAATGGTTAAGGGTTTAGAATTAAGGGTTTAAGGTTGTTTAGGGTTTAGGGTTAGGGTTTAGGGCTTAGGGTCCCTTGAAAGGGCTAGTACAGCGGTTATATGGGGAAATAGCTAGGGTCCAGTTATGGTGATCCTTCTTATGGTGATTTTTCTCATTTTTAACGCTTTGGGGTTGTGGGTGTGTATAGGGGTTGTATACGATAACTACGAGGCCTACTGGGCAAAGGGCCTTGTGAGGCAGAGGGGATCCAGGTTCTATTTTAGGTTTGTCAAGGGCAAAGACAGCCCCAGTGGAAGTCGCACTGAAGGCACTGAAATCCCCAAACTCCAACGATTCAATACCCGGAGCCCCTTCGAGCCTAAACCCCTAAGCCCTATGCCACTAAAGGGTTTGCAAAGTAAAGCCCAGACGCGTCTTGCTCCCTTCCTTCGTTCGGATTGAAAGCAGCTCCACCACCGCCCGAGCATTGTCCTCACCGCTCCGCGACACGACTTCTCGCAGAACCAACTCGGTCACCTGGACAAATTCCCAAAAACATGAGGTACGGATCGTGTTCAGGGCTGAGAAAGATTTTGGCTTTGGTTAGAGTCCCCCTTAAGTAGATAGAATATGGGGTATATAGTGATTTGATTATAATATACCCCAAGCCATATCCTAAATACCTAAGGGGGACTACAGGGCCTTGGGCTTCAGAGTATATGGTTTGGGGCTCAGGGTTTTGATCCCTGCATTTCTCGGGTGCAGAGCGGAGCCAGTTTTGGTAACTGTCATCCTTGGTGAGGGTGAACAGCTCGTCTTTTGCACCTTAGCCAGATAGATTTCGAGAGAACAGTTGGATGATTCTGAAAAAAGGGGGGGCCAAAGAATACATAGACCCTAAACCCTAAACCCTAAATCCGGATCATGGGATTCCTGGGTTCTCTTAGATTACTTTGCGAGGATGCTTGAGAACGAAAGGCGCACAGACAGCACGACGAAGGAACCTCAAAGGTCATGATGTCAGTGCAGACGGGGAGTTGTTGATAGCATCATCCCAAAACCCTGAATGCGGTTTGGGGTTTAGGGTGTAGGATCACCTAAACCCGTAAATTTCTCAACCCCAAGCCCTGACAAACCCTACTTCCTTCAACTTGAAGCCTGTTGTAACAACCTATGAAGCTTCAGACCAGGGGTCCAAAGAGTAAGGTTGCTTGCAAGGTTGGGGAACTATGGGCCTTTGGTATGGGCCCTATATACCCTATAAAACCCTACAGACCCAATCAAAGGCCACCAAAAAGGGGCCCAGACATAAGTGAAGGCCCATATTATGGGGCCCAGGGTTAGGACCGTAGATTGCTGCCACAGCCCCAGGTCTTGCGCGCTTGAGTTCTTCTGGCTTGCCGAGCTTAGTATGGGTTTGGGGCTTAGGATCTAGGGCTTTGGGCTATGGATTCCATCACTATATCCTAAACCCTAAAAACCCTAAACCCTAAACCCTAAACCCTAAAAACCCTAAACCCTAAACTCATAGGGTTGAAAGGCTAAAGTTGGACACTTGCGGATGTCCCCCCCGGGTGTCTTCATAATTCCAAGGGGCGGATGGTAATGGCCTACGCAGACTGTGAAGGTTTTGGGGTAATATGGATTTGGGTTTAGGGTTTAGGGTTTAGGGTTTAGGGTTATAATGGAAAAGAAAAT